GCTAGGAGGAGGGGGAACGGTGGAGTCATAGGGAGGGGTGCGGGATGAGGGCCCACGGGCACCGTGTGCGGCGGGTCAGGTGGTGGCGGGAGGGCGGAACCTCAGCAACAGTTTGCTCTGACCAGAAGAGGGAAGGGCGGGACGTGTCTTGTTTCTGCTGTGGGCAGACTCCTTTTCACCGCTCACAGGTAATCGTGCGCGTTCTTTACAACCGCCGTGAGGGAAGAATGCGCGTCCCGTTTAGCATCTAAAGGCACCGGCGCAGGGCCCCACGCAGCCTGGGCCTGCAGGAAGCCCACGGCGGCCGGGCCTGTACGATGGTTACGGTGCCTCTTTTTGAAAAGGAGAAACTTCACTGCCAGGGTGTTGTGTTTGTTTATTTATTAATTAAATATGTTTTTATTGGTTTTTAGAGAGGAGGGAGAGGGAAAGAGAGAATGAAACATCGATGAGAGAAACATCATTGATTGGCTGCCTCCTGCACGCCCCCTACTGGGGGTTGAGCCTGCAGCCTAGACATGTGCCCTGAGCAGGAATCGAGCCCTGACTTCCTGATTTCTGGGTCGATGCTCAACCCCTGAGCCGGCCGGCCGGGCAGGGTGTTTAAGGTAAATGTGCACATTGATTTGATGAGGCCGAGGTGGCAGCTTCTGTATCCAGGCGGCCGCTTAGGGAGAAGGGACGCCCGAGTCTGGTCTGCTCAAGGTCTGCAGAGGCAGTGCTGCCGTGTGGACGCGCAGGAGTCCCTCAGATCAGTGGGGACACAGCCGGGCGAGGGGCAGGCGCCCAGGGTGGGTGGGCCTGCAGGCCTGGGCCCCACAGAGAACCCGCTGGGGTGGGCAGCCCTCGTGGGTGGTCTCAGGGGCCACAGTGCGAGGGGAGGCCTCGCAGATGATGATCAGCTCCCCCAACAGGCAAATGTTTCCACGCCGCAGGGGACCGTGGGTGCCGCTGATTTACGCACCTCGTTCCCGCGTCTCCAGATTCTCCCCGGCTCCTTATCTGCTCCAGTCAGAACCAGCTGGCTCGCAGGAATCACTGCTTGCCATTGGCTTATCGATGATAATTCGCTTAACCGGCCATTCATGCATCATCACTCTCCCTGCTAATCGCATCAACTAGCTGGTGGGTCGCTGTCGCCTTGGAAAGATCAAATACTGCTCCCCTGGTAATCGGCTGGCTGGCTAATGAATAGGCAGCACCGTTAGCTGTTTTCATTAGTAATAATTAAAAGAGCCATTACTTTGTTGTTAACGTTTGGGTCTATTGGCTAATCTGTCTCCCTCATTAATAATTAGATTAGTCGGTTTTAGACGTGTGGATCAATAACAGAAGAGAGGGAGCCACGTTTGTGAAACCGCCCAGGTGCTGGGCCAGGTCGCAGCCCCCTCCCTCCCCCCGTGAATCCCACCACAGGGCCGGCGGAGGGGCCTCCCACCGGCTGTGGAGGGGGAGGCCGAGGCGCTGGGCAGTGACGTCCTTGCCCAAGTCCGTTCGGGCGGCATGAGGTGACCCAGCATTTGACCACCTTAAGCCAGGTTCTTCCATCTCTTTATGCAATCGTTGCTAGCACGAGTAATGCTATGAATAGTCCAATAGTCTTAGTTCAGAACCACCTAATTTATCATCTTTAAGTCCAAGGCTGACGTAGCAGACGGGGCATCTGCCCGCAGTCGGAAACCCTGTGCAGGGCGAAGGCCTCACGCCAGCCGGGTTCCCTGGAGATGGGCCCCTGGGGACTCGCAGGTGTTTGCAGGGCGCCCTGTGTCCCCGAGGGAGACCTGCCTGGGCTGGGCTGTGAGTCAGTAAGGAGCAGAGACGGGCGTGCCGCCAGGGGCTGAGTCAAAAACAGACCTTGGGCTCCACTCCGCACCGAGGTGCTGCTAACCTCCAGGAGGCTGGCGCAGCCTTAGGGAGGGGACAGCCTTATGGGAGGGGGTGGCCTTATGGGAGGGGACAGCCTTATGGGAGGGGCGGCCTTATGGGAGGGGGTGGCCTTACCAGAGGGGACAGCCTTATGGGAGGGGAGCCTTATGGGAGGGGATAGCCTTATGGGAGGGGACAGCCTTACCGGAGGGGGGGCCTTATGGGAGGGGGCGTGGGCTGCTCTGGCCGAGCTCCCTCTGCTCTGTGCACCCTGCTGGGCCCTCAGAAGGCAGGTGTGGCCCGGAGCAGGCCCAGGGGTCTCTGGGGGGCAGACGGCTGACACTGCAGCCTGGCTGCTGTTTCCTCTCCCCCACGCGTGCGTTTCCCACCTGGACTTGCAAGAAGCTTCCAGTCCATTGCAAAGGACTCTGCAGGCTACTCGCCCCCCCCCCCCCCCCCCCCCCCCCCCCCCCGTGGCCCTGCTGGGAGCAATCTCTACTCTGGCAGCTATTTGCACCTGCTTCCAGCACCTTCTCCCTCTGTAACGGCGACTGCACCCGTTAGGTTAATTGCCGCGTCGGCCTTTGCTCTTGATCTGAGCGCCCAGCACCAAACAAGCCGTGGCCAGCTCCCCACTGTGCGTCACAGTGAGCCAGGCACTGCGGGTCCCACAGGAGGGGGGGTGCTCCACCCTCCAGCCTGTTCATGACCCACTCCATATGCGGAACACACTGTGGGGGGTGGGACAGGCTGTGATAGGAGGGTCCCCAGCGGTGCAGCCGCCTCACAGGGTGGAGTGCGGGGTTGGGAGGGAGAAGGGGCCAGGGTCACTGATCTGAAGGCAGTTTTGTCCACCAGTTCCTTTCACTCCCAGTCCCAGCTCTTCCTCGGTGTGAGGACTGACAGGAGCTGACGTGCGGAGCGGGCACTGAGACGGGTGTGCGTGTGTGCGCGCGTGTGTGCATTTTCTGCTCCTCCTGGTCCATGGGGTTCGTCTAGACGGGGAATCTCTGGACCTGGTGACTCTCCACACAGTCACCGGGGGTGTTTCCAGAGTCATGGGCCCCTCGGACGCGTCCCTGGTGCGCCTCAGGGCCACACAGGGGCCCGTGCAGCTGCTTTTAGGACCAGCTCCCCGGGATTCTCCAGGCCCCACCGGAGATGATGGCTGCGGGGCCTGGCCCTCTCTGGGCCTCAGTGTGCGTTGTTGTCACACAGGGAGGGTGACTTTCCGGAGAAGATGATGGATCTGTCTACTCTAACCTGCTGTGAACTGGGAGGCGCAGCCAGCAGCCTGCAGCCCTTTGCAGGAGATGAGGGAGGGAGGGAGGGAGGGAGGCGGTAGGAGTCCCGAGCTGCCCCACAGTCGCCAGGGGAGGCAGCACAGAACTTCCCCGGGGCCATCGCATCCGGGGAAACCGAGGAGGGAAAACAGTAACTCCCGAAGAGCCAGCAGAGGGTGGCTGTGTCGGGAGAAGGGACCTGGCCCTGCTCTGTGGGTTGAGGGGCTGTGAGACCCCAGAGGTGACGTTGAAAGAAAAGTGCCGCCTGGATCAGGGCTTCTGGAAGGTGGTGGAAGGTGGCTCCTGTTACCAGCAGGATGTGGGTGCGTGTGGCTGAGTGACAATAGGGGTGAGGCCGGGAACCTTCTTTGGGGCCCTCTGCCCCCCTCATCCATTAGGGGGACCCTGTATTCACACCTGCCCCGGCCACCTTCTGCCCGGCTCTGTCTGCCTCCTCCGTTGCTCCAGCTCAAAGCAAGTGTCTTCAGAGAAAGGGAGACGCTGCCCCCAGAGTGAGCTCAGGGGAGACGGGTCCAGACGCCCCCCCCCAAAAGTTCAGGCCCCTCTCTAGGCCTGTTGTTGACTCACGTGCACACCCAGAGGGAGACACAGGGAACTGCACAGAAGCAGCGGCCTTTGCCATTTTTAAGTGTTTACTGCCCTCTAGTGGGGACGTGAGACTGTTCCCTGATGCACAGCCCTCCCCTTAGCTCCAGTGGGTCCAGGGGACTTGTTCAAACCTTGATTGAGCGCCTGCTCCCTGCACGCCCTGGGGTTGTCACGTGTGAGAGGAGACGCAGAGGGAACGAGAGGCACCCCTGCCCTCGGGGCACGTGGGTCAGATGCACACAGTTCTGCTGGCCCTGAGCGTGGGGGTGGGGGGGCGTGAAGCATTGCTCCTGGGGAACTGGAGAGGATGTCAGGGGTGGAGACACTGGAGAAGGGAGGGTCTGGCAGGGCGCATCTGGAGAGGATGCTGAGCAACCTGAGGCCGAGGTCGCCTCCCAGGACGTGTGTGGGGCTGTGATCCATCGCCATGGTGGGGGCGGCTCCACCAGGTCCCGCATCCCCCTGGCTGACTCCATGCTGGTCGGGCCTGAGAACACTGTCCTGGGAGGCCTTGGGGGTGGCCCCACTGTGTGCGTGTGTGTACTCATACATGTGCGTGTGTATTCATACATGTGCGTGTGTGTATTCATACATGCCTGTGCGTGTACTCATACATGCCTGTGTGTGTACTCATACATGCCTGTGCGTGCGTGTATTCATACATGCCGTGCGTGTGTATTTATTTTAAATGCCAGAGTAGCTCAACTGTACGGCAGAATACTCACGTAGCAGGTTTGCTCCCATTACCCCAGGGGGACCTGTTAACATGTTATAAATTTTACTTCAGATATTTTCTTTCTGGTTTTTGTTTTGCTTCAAACACAAGACATTACAAATAAGGCTGAAGCTCACCTGTCACCATGTCCCCTCCCCCATCTTCTCTCACAGGACAGGACAGCGTCACGGGGCGGGGGGGGGGCTGCTGCTGCACACACCCCTAACCCTCCTGCTCTCTCCACAGGGCCCCCCCGGACCGCCCGGTGTCCCCGGCCCCCCTGGTCCTGGAGGCCCCGCGGTAGGTGGCCCTGCTGTCCTCTCACTGGGCTCTGAGTGGGGG